TAATAAAGATCTGTCTTGCATACATGGCTCCTGCGTGTCAATTCCCTCACAACAACAACCCACACTCACACACGAGATTACAATAGGTATCACCCTTCATTCTGTAGGGATGGGCTTCACCTGGATCTATGGTGACACTTTTTGATTGCCTCTTCTGCTGTTGTCACTCTGAGCCACATGATACAACTGATTCCCTCTGACCTACTCTGCTTTGATCCTTTATTTGCACCTGTATTGACTGATAATATAGTACATTATAGTATACTATAATATATAATAACCAATTCCAGTTTTCTTAAATTGCCTCATACTGCTGGTACCCAACTTCTTCAGAGCTTATAAGGCACATGTCTTGAATAGACCAGAACAGAATAAATAGAATTCTTTATTGGCCAAGTGTGATTGGACACACAAGGAATTTGTCTTCGGTGCATAAGCTCTTAGTGTACTTAAAAGATGTAAGTGATAAATCTTGGCCCTGCTGCTTCACTCTCCCTCACTTGTCTTTCTCACAGTTTCACTGTTGAGCTCTTTTTCTCTTTTTCTAGGGTTCTGCTTGTATAAACTAGCTGTTGGTTTTATTACTGTCTATTGGTTTTGGCAGACTGCAGTTACAGCTTTCATCACCCCAACCTTTCAGACCCATCTTGAGACTCTTCTGCTAAGCCTTATTAATTTTTCTTAGCCCAGCTACTTGGCACTTTACATGTAAGGAGGCTAACCATTTTCCTCTTGCTTCCTTTTCTTTTGGCTTGATATCCCTTTGGATCTTCTCAACAGCTGCCAAAACATTTTCCCCTCTTCTTCAGTAATCCTGCTCAGCATATGCTTACAAACACAAATTTGAATGCTGCCAGCAGCAAGTTTTCTTTTCCCACAGCAACTCTGGACTGATCTTCCTTTTGTATTCCCTCCCTCTCTCCCTCCCTCTCCTCCTTCTACAAATTTCCAACTTTCCAACTTTTTCATTTCTTTTTTGTCATTTCTTTAATTTTCCTTCATTTGTTTTCTGACACTTTGAAATCCATCTTCACTCTTCAAGTTCATTGAACTAGCTCCATATTTTAAAGAAACTACATTTCTTTTTCCCCCACCCCCCGAAAATGGCTCTCTCTTCTTTTGGATAGGACTTAAGATGAGCCTTATTTTTCAGAGGAATGGAAGTGAGAATAAATGGCATAGCATTTTTTTCTTTCATAGCTATCTTCTCATTCTACTCCTCTTTGCTCCTATTTCCTCTGCCCATCCCTCCCCTTTTTTGGAACAACCAGCTCAAAAGACTCTAATTTGCCAAAGTCAGGTATTTCTAGGTCTAACAAGGAATTCAAAAATTATTTAGGAGCTAACCCTATGTTTCCTAATGAAATTTCTTGGAATAATAATTGTGCAAACTTGTTTTCACCAGCTGTACCATTTTATGAGAGGGAACGTAAGGCAAAAAAGAAAAAGTAAATTCTATTTTATTATAACTATTCAGCTTGAGGTCAACCTACCTATCCAAGATGCCTTAGGGGACATCACTGTGCTCTACCAAAGGCAAAAGAGTTCCCGTAATATAATTTGGCAAGATATGAAGAACATAATTTCCTGTTTGAAAATTATGATTATATTATTACTATGATTACAGTGATTATCTATTATAGATTTGATCCAAAGAGTGTATTTTGCCATCCAGGTGCCCAAAGGATACGTAGACATGCATGGCACATACATAAATATTCTGTTTCACATGAAAACTCTTTTAAAATTAAGAATTGAAACTACCTTATAACATGGCCCCAATAGTTTGCCACTACTTCTGTCCCTATTCTTAGCTAATGTGCATCACCCTATATTCATCAACAAAATCTTAATGCACAATAATATCAAAATATTCAAAGCTTATTTCATAGCTGTCTTCTTACACACACACATACACACACACAATCAAAAAGTGCCTGATCACTCAATCCACTACAGTACAACTAACCCAAGATGCGTGAATAACACTGCCGCACATCAGAAATCTTATAAACAATCAACAGACTATTACAACCACATGGTATCATCATTGCAAGCAAACCAACTAAAGATATTCCAAGAGGAAAAAGTAATTTACAGTGTAAGGACTGCAACAGCCACTGTTGCAGAGCACATTCGTGAATGCCAACTAGTAGTCAGAAGACACAAGTAAAACTCCTTAATCTCACAACACATAGAGAGATTCAACCATAGTTTCAACTGGGACATAATAAGCATTCTAGGCCATGATAATTTTTTTAAAAAATAGAGAATTCCTGAGAGGTTGTCAATCAGACACATCATACATCAAATAGACAATAGACTTATACCACATTTATATATCATAAAAAAGAGACAATTTAAAAATATAAGAAAGAAAGAAAAAGACACAATTTTTCTAGCTAACTCCCTATAGCAAGCAGGGATTAACATCAGGCAAACAATCAAACAGAAAGTAATACCCTAATCAAGAAGCTACCAAGGAGAAAACCACACCTCTACCAGAACTGTCAGTGCAATGTACTGTACAGAATCATGGAGCAAATCCTACCCACAAGCACTGATGATGTTACCTAATCAGATTTAAAATATCTGCAAATAAAGGACCAAGCTCAGAGAGCATGAAGGACTCCACACTTCAGAGAGAATACTGAGTTATGTATATTCTCTTTTGTTGACATATAATAATAGCTGGCAGATTATGATGAAACAGTATTTGATTTATACTGCAAACTATCCCATATTTGTTGATAAAAGTTCCATCAGATTCAGCTATGCATATTCCAAAGTAGATTTGGAAAGTAGATTTGTTTAGAGTTGCAGCCTATTTGTGGATGTTAAACATAAGCACTGCTGTGTCCAATGGAGCTTGGTTTCTAATAAACATGCTCTAGAATGCCATGTACAGTTAATATGTTTGTATATACACATATGTATGTGTATATATGTGTGTGTGTGTATACACACTATCTTAAGTATATATGAAAATGTTTATTTTTCAAATTTGAACCAAGTACAAGAGCAGTATTGCATGCATTAGAAGGTAATAAGAGGATAATAACCTCCAGTTTTAATATATTTTCAAACATATGATGTGTTATATTGTTTATCCTCAAACATTTCAATTCTATTATTCTACCTTCCATATTCTAAATGGTAGTCTATAAAGACCCCTTCATGTTAGAAAAAAAAAGAGCCAATCCTCCTTAAAGCCCAGTAATTACATCTGAGAAATGGTGGGGTTGGTGTTCATATAAAACAATCAACTCCTGTTTCATCTAAAGGTTGTTGTCCCTTAGTAAAAACTGACTATATATTTCAATAGATGGTTTTAGATTATTTACCCACTTTTCTCTGAATAAATTGTGTTTTTTTGTTCAAGATCAAGTATATGTAACTATTATATTATTCTAATATAAAATAATATACGTAGAGCCAGTAATTCTAATGGTTCACTTTAGATGGAACAGTTTTCTTCACCAGAAATTCTGAGTAGGGCAATATAGTATCTTGATCATCCATCTACCATAAGAAAATTAAATTTTGTGTATGTGTGTGTGTGTGTGTGTGTGTGTTATTTACTTCCCCTTGCATTTTGTGCACAGATTCTAGAAGTTTTTTGGAATGATCAGAAGAATCTGATCTATCAGCAGGGTCTGATTCAGTCATAGATAGGGTTTTTGTAGCCCTATGGAACAAGTTGAAAACCTAAGGGCAAACAGTTGGTTCTTTAAAAAAAAACATCACTAATTAAATATGATGACAAAATTTTATGGACTGTGAACTGCTTTATTCTTTCAAGGGTAATTGATGTTTGTGAAGTGAATGATCCTGGCAGAGTATGTAGATAATATTAGCAAAGACATTAATCCAGATAACCAAATCATTAATTCAGTGTGCTGTAAACTAAACTTCTGTAGGTTTATTTCATTTTCTACACAGGAACCTGAACAATACATGTCACATTATACAGTTAGGATAACTTTTGAAGAAAAGGCTTTTAGCCTGCAGTAGCTGTAATACATTAAACCAAGCTTAATAGAGTAAAGAAGGATAAGTAAAGGAGAAAGAAATCCATAGCTGGACTTCAGACAGCATCCATCTTCATCTCAGTCATGAATGTAGCCATTGATTTGAAATGATTGAATCCTTTGGGGTTATTTTTTCATGGGAATCTGAATGTAGCATTAATTAATAAACTAGGGGAGACATGATAGCAGTGTCCCAATATTTGAGAGTCTACTACAAAGATAAAAAGGGCTTTGGTGCTTTTCCAAAGTACCAAAAGGCAAGATAAGAAACAATGGGTGGAAACTAACTAAGGACAGAAACAATCTAGAACTAAGGAGAAGCTTAAAAACAGCAAAATAGCTTGCCTTCAGAAGAAGTGCCCAATCACTGGAGGCTTTCAAAATAAGACTGGACAATCATGTCTGAAATGGTACAGGCTTTCCTGCTTAGACTAAAAGACCTCCAAGGTCCCTTCCAATTCTATTATTCTACCTTCCATATTCTAAATGGTAGTCTATAAAGACCCCTTCATGTTAGAAAAAAAGAGGCAATCCTCCTTAAAGCCCAGTACTTACATCTGAGAAATGGTGGGGTTGGTGTTCATATAAAACAATCAACTCCTGTTTCATCTAGCGGCTATAGCTTTTAACAAGCAAAATTGTTTTAAGTCAAGAATGAACACTTCTTTATGCCAGAAGAAACTCACCTAGCTGTGATAATTTTCCTCCCCGAAGTATTATATGAGCACTGGCATTGAATTATATTTCTTTTCCAGCCTGGTATCTCTGATAAGGGGCCAAGTGGTGACTACAGATGGAACCCCACTTGTTGGAGTCAATGTATCCTTTGTCAAGTATCCAAAATATGGCTACACCATCACTCGCCAGGATGGCACGTAAGTTGACTCACTTCATTGACGAACTACTTTGTATAGTAATAATTGTGTCGATTAACAGATGGTGCTATCTGGTGAAACCATGTGGTATCATGCATAGAATTCCTACTAGGGTAAAGGGCTATCAAGAAAGCAGAAAGTAATTTTTCACACGGTGTTTTGAAGACTAGCTGAAAGTAAATTTGAAAGGATTGACTTCTGAAAATAATGTGATAGCAGTTGGACTTCTTCTCACACAAGCTGTATTATATCTATAAAAACATTTGTGGGCTACAGTAGTATCCAGCTGAGACCCAGAAACATTTAATTTTGAGATTCAAGGCAGGCTAACACTCATCTGGGGGTGGGAGGGGGGAGACTCATAAAACAGTGCAATTTCTTAGTTTCCCAATTGTCCCATTTCTTTCTAAAAATCAGTTCTATTTAGAGTTTCTTGAGGCAAAACATATTAAAAGGGTATAATTGAATAAACTTAGACAATTCCCTGCTGTGTTCTGTTTCTCTGTTCATCATTCGATTTGAAAGGCACATAGACTTAGCTCCAATAAAAATGGGATATGTCATATTTTATCTAATTTATTGGATGTAGCAATAAAATGATATATCTATGTGAAATAATGCGTTGCAGCGATTTGCTGCAGTATATGTGAACTGTAGTCTATAAAAGTCATTGGACTACTGATCTGTAACATGGCCATTGTTGGATGCTCTGGTCACTGTTTCAATGCTGAGCTTTTGAACATCTTAGCAATAATGAGGATTCAGGGCTTTTGTGTGATTCATTATAAATTTACTAATATTGTTTGCTCAAAGCTGTCATTCAGTTTTGCCACATGGCATGGAGGCATTTGTGATGGCTTTAATGGCCGCTTATAGCAGTTCTATGTTGGAAACCACACATCATACAGTGCTTTATGATATATCATGGCCACATTTGCATTAACAACAGATCTTCGTTCACAGCAGAGGTCTTAATCGCAAACTTCCCTGAATCAAGAAAATGAGTGTGTTAACTTTTTTATGTATGCTTGGAGGAAAAAGATATTGTATTACAGATGATACCAGCTCTAAATCTCCTGCGATCAAGAAGACTAGAATTAAAGAGAAGGCCCTGAGCCATATCATTTAGCAAATAAATTTAATATAGTTCAAGAAAGTACCCAAGAGAAACAAAAACCTAGTTGCACTTTTGGAAACTAATGAGCTGAATTCATTTTTTCCTACTTCATGACTTGTGGTACTGCTTTTGTTGTTGTTCCTGCTTGTTTGTTTTAGAAACTGGACAGAATAAGCCATATTGTGGTTTCTTTCGATTTGGCTTTGCCTGCTTGTGAAGTCATAGTATGTTTGTAGTTTCGAAGCCCTTGTTTATATTATAGCATGTGGTGCAAAGTTAGTTGGTAGCAGGGGTGGACTTCAAAAATTCCAGAAACAGGTTCTCTGCCCAGTTTCTGGGTTGGCATGCCTTGATGGGCGTGCTCTAGTCAACCTCCTGCATCATGGCCTGGTGGCAGTTGTTTTCACTTTCCCCAGGCTCCAGAGGCCTTCCTTGAGCCTCATGGAAGGTGAAAACTGCCTTCCCTGGGCTCCAGAGGCCCTCTGGAGGCCGGAAATGGGCCCATTTCCAGAAATGGGCCCATTTCCGGCCTTCAGAAACTTCAAGGAGACCCGTTCCCCCCCCCCCACATCAAGCCTCCCCAAAGGCCCTGCACTTACCTTGCATCCAAAATGGGCCATGTTAAGACTTCTGGGAGGTGCGGAACATTTTCCTGCTTTTAACTTATAAGATCCTTGCACCCTGTTCTAGAAAAAGCGCAACTGATTTCTTTAATCCATATTTTAATCACTTCCGAATACATTTTTACCAGTTTATTTGTAGGGCTGCCTTAAAAGTTTTTTGGGAGGAAACTAATCTAAATCACAGCACCACAATTGTTTTATAGAATACACACTACAGTCACACTACAGACTACATACACAGACTGTAGAATTGCTATACAGTATTTAGGGAGGGGGAATTTGTGGGCTTTCCATTATTGTTGAACTACATTGATCCATCTTTGATATAAACTTTTAAATAATTGGCAACAGAATATCTGAGTGGCCTCTTCACATTTTGCTTTTGTTCTCTTGGACTCTGGAGTGACCTTTCCATTAGAAGTCCACTGATTTTAATTTTTTTTCTGCTTTGTTGCTATGATTTTGGGGGAATTGGATATAGCTAATTTTGTCATACTAAAGGTTTGAATCAATACAGTAGAATGTAATCTAAGAAATTGTGTAATAAACTGTATTGGGTTCTTTCCAGAGGTGGGTTGCTCCCAGTTCAGCCCGGATTGGGCGAACCAATAGTAGCGGCGGCAGGAGGCTCTGCCCACCTGTCCAGACGTTTTTGTGCATGAGTGCGCCCGAACTGGTAGTAAAAAAATTGGTAACCCACCACTGGTTCTTTTTCTAGTTTTATTGACTAGTTTGGTTCTTTGTTCTAGAATTATTCATGATGTAGACTCCAACTTTTTCTAGGTTTGATTTGATTGCAAATGGAGGAGCATCGCTAACTCTTCATTTTGAAAGAGCCCCATTCATGAGTCAAGAGAGGACAGTGTGGCTACCATGGAATAGCTTCTATGCAATGGATACCCTCACTTTGAAAACTGAAGAGAATTCTATTCCCAGCTGTGACTTAAGTGGTTTCATCAGACCTGATCCTGTTATAATTTCATCACCACTTTCCACCTTTTTCAGTGATGCCCCTGGTCGAAATTCAATTGTTCCAGAGACCCAGGTATCAAACAGAGATACTGAAAAAGAAAAAAAAATACAATAAGTTCATTATAATTGTTTTCTAATAACAGCCCTATAACAATCATACCAGTTATTTTGAATATTTATATTGGCCTTTTCTTCATAAATATAAAACAAAAGCAGATATATGCATTTAGAGATAAAAGCAGAATGTATTGGTATGTGGCTATGATGTGTTTGGCAATATTCATTAATATTTACTTGGGGTATATTCTTTGTCACAAATGCCTATACAAATTCAGTTGCATTTGTCCATTCTTTGAAGTTGGAAAAGTACAGTTCTGGAAGAAATGCTTGCTAGACATTTTTCATGAACGTTACATTTATGTGCTGAATTGGGAACCAAGCTTTTCAAAATCCAAGCCTTGAGCACGTTAATAAAGGCAACAAAAGTATTATCCACAAATTTCAGAGAGTCCTGAAGCATTTTAGTAGAATATACATCTTTGACTTGTACATATTGTTCATGACAAAGCCTGAATCTCTAGCATCAGGTTCCTAATCCAGCACTTGCTTCTTCTAGATATAAATGTAGAAATTAATCATCAGAAATGTTCCTGTGTAAAAGAACAAAGCTATTTGATGGTGATGGATGTATTGTGCTAAGATTTTCTTGTTCACTTTGTGTACCAAATTCTTCTGAAAACCTTAAATCTTATCCAGTTTTCTCTCTAGAGTATAAAATCCCATTGAGCAGGTCAAGATAGGCATAAGGCCAGCAGGCAAGTTGCCTCTTGCCACAATCACATAGAAAAAGTGTTTCTAGTATTTAAAGAGCAGATACACAAGGTGCTAAACCCTCCTCCCGCAAATGGCTTTGCCTCCCCAGGCACCTTCTCCTCAGCCAAGATGCAATACTAGAAGTGAACTTCTAGGAGAGCTATGGAGAAGAGCTATGGGAAGAGGTAAGGAGTAAGCATGGGGGAGAGTTCAGTTCCTCTCACCTACATGTCTCTTTTAATCTAAACAAAAACCTGATACATATCCCATCTCCATTCTTGCTCTGCATGAAATTGTCACAGATTCAAGTTTGAGCAAGCATCCTAACTTGGCATGCTTGCAAAAACATCATACATGCAGCTGAAGCATGTGGCATACCCAGGTGATAAGGGGGCGTTCCATCATCTTCATTGCTACTGTTATTCTGCTTTTCCCACCCACTTCCCTTAGGCATCCTTGCTACTTTAAGATGACTGTCAGCGGTAGTGGTAACTACATAGCATTACAACTTCATGGGGCCTTCTTGCATAAAACTAGCAATCAGATCTGTGATTCTTACTGATGCTTTTGCCAACAGTGGGGATTTTAAAAGAAGCAGTAGCAGTGGCCAAAATTTTAGTAATCCAGAAGTCCTATCCTAAGTCTTACCATTGCAGGAAAGCAAGCTAAAATTTCCTAGCATATTTTACTTTAACCTACAAGTACAACCCATGAGCTGAACCAAATAAATCTCTTCCATACCACACTCATTTAATATGAACTCTCTTTCCTTACTTAGGTTCTTCATGAAGAAATTGAGATTCCAGGTGCCAACATAAAGCTCTGCTATCTGAGTTCCCGTACTGCTGGATACAGATCCTTGCTTAAAATCACCATGACACAATCTCTTGTGCCTCTGAACTTAATTAAAGTTCATCTCATGGTAGCAGTGGAAGGGCATCTTTTCCAAAAGTCATTCCAAGCATCTCCCAATTTGGCATATACTTTCATTTGGGATAAAACAGATGCCTATGGCCAGAAAGTTTACGGGCTCTCGGATGCTGTAGGTATGATCACTAGATTCAAATCATGTAACTTTTAAGTGCTGGCTTTCAACAACTGCTCTTAAATTAAAGAAAAATCTGTGATCTGTACTGACAATAGAAAATACCTATAGATAGCTTCAGTATTCCACTACATCAGCAATTTTCCAGCTGTCTTTTATTTTGTTTATTGATTAGACAGTATTTATAACTTTCTCAATCCCAAAGTAAAATGGGCATTATACAAATAACATTTTAAAAAACCAATGTTACAGTAAAAGTACTGTAATCAAAATACATGTGATAGACGCCCTTAGTCAAAATAGCTAGTATTGAAGGCTCATTGAAATAACACATGTATTACTGGTTTATAATATCTAATAGATATTGCATGTAACATTCACTTATATCTGGGGGTACCCAATATAAAACCTATGGGCACCAGTGTGCCTGCTATTATTTTGCTTTATGAGCATTAATCTTCCTGTTATATCTGAGTCTGTATGTGTGCATGGGTGTATGTGCTTCTTTCAATCATGTATGTTTTTCAGAGACTGTCTATAGGTCACCTTAGGCTTTGTGCCTAAGGGAAGACTAGAACTCATGATCACCTGGTTTTTAGGTTGATATATATTGAGAGAAGGAGAAAGAAAGAAGGGGTGAGAAAGAAAAGGGGAACACTACAAAATCAAGAACATATTTTCAACTTCATCTCACAGGAATTTCTCTGGGCCACAAATTGGTTCCACAAGCTTTCATAAAAATGATGGCTGAACAAATAATCTATCGGCAGAAAAAAAATCTATCCATTTGTTTAAACTATTGGTAAAAAAAGGAAGAAGAATAGAAAGAGTGATATGATGTATCTGTTGTGGAAGTTAGAGAGAGCGGCAGGGAACATTCTCTTCTAGTCTGATTGGTTAAGATACTCATCACAATCATTCTGGGAACTGAAACACTTCCCATGATATTTTTTTAAATTGCCCGTGACATGTTTTCATAATTCAAAATGGGACTCTAGTCCAGTAAGGTTGTTGACTCTTGTTACATCAGTATTAAATCTGGAACATAGGAATCAATACCTTCTTTATTAATATCCACATTTTTTTCTTTCCCTTTTATATCCTAAGAAAAGTAGACGTGTGTGTGTGTGTCTGTGTGTGTGTGTGTGTTTTGACAGGAGGTAGTGAGATGCTAGGAAAATTGAAAAAGGAGCAGAGGTGGTATTCTGCCAGTTCGCACCGGTTTGGGCGAACTGCTGGTTGTGGTGGCGCGAGGCTCCACCCACCCACCTAGACATCATCACGGACCTTCTGCGCATGCATGGTCCCACTAACGAACCAGTAGTGAAGAAAAGAGGATACCATTACTGAGCAGGAGTATGTTTCTGCAATATTTTGCTGTTGCATTTTTAACTTCTAATTGAATCTAGCAAGACGAGGTGTCATCGAAAACATTTTATACAAAATAGAAATTTGAATAATGTACCAGAGCCATGGGTGAAGTTCACTGTGAACATGTTGCCATCATGAGATGTGACTTCTGGAATAAACTCAAACATTCAGTGACTTTTTTCCAGTAATTTATTAACCTTACTGACAAATATTATATATTAGGGGCCAAGACTACAAACAATCAATTGTTTAGGCAATAAAAGCCTGATTTACAGAGCTTCCCCAAGCTTTTCAGAGAGGAGAAGAAAAATCATTCAAATGACATTTTGATATAATTGATCATTTCTCACAGGGAACTCATATCATCCTTTATGTTTTCTGTGGGGTAAAAGATACGGGAGTTTTACCACTCTTCTATCTTAACTGAATGTATGAAGTGGTAATCTATCTATATCTTTAAGGGCTGTTAGGGGAACTTGAGAATCCCTCAGGAAATGATCATAGCATCTCTTCAGACCTGTGTTGCTTACTTTTAACTGCAGTCTCAGTGGAAGTATCATCGGTGCATGTACAGTATACTGTATGTACAGTATATACAAGATGACAAGAGGAGATCTGCAAAGCAGATAAGCCTTTGATAAGTTAGGATATGATGCCTTACAACTTCAAGATCAGATGCGGAGATGCTTTTCAATCACTTCACCAGCACAGTGCTATACTTTCAAGCCAAATCCTGGCTTGTGTTAAATAGATTTTGTTACTAATTGGGCATCTAGGACATAGTTTATTGGATACTCACATATCTATGCCAGAGAACTCAGCATGTGGGATTATCCCATTTCTGGGATATGATAGATGGTGCTTAGAGAAAGCTGCTGAGTTTTATTAGAATACAAGTGACCTTCCTAGCTGAATGATACATTGCACTCAAATCTCTTTAGTCTTCTTTTTGATCCATTCCCTATCCTAACGAACTGGTGAAGTATATTTCTACGTAGCCAGATTCATGAAATGTATGCATGGCTGTTTACTTATTTAATGTATATACTGCCTTAATCCAATTGGACTCTAGGTTCAATAAAATGTAATATCATTGCTAGAAAAAGATTGCAGTTATACAAGATATATAATAAACCTAATTTCTATATTAATATGTCTTATCCATAATCATTCACTTTGGAAAAGCCAGTTTTTAATAGATTTCCAGAAAGGCCACAGGGATAGTGACCATCAGGTCACTCCTATTGTATTTCCTGGTGGGCCAGGGCCTTAAGCAGACGTTCTCCAGGTGTCTGGTTTTGGCAAAACTTATCAGGAAAAGATAATCTTTCAAAGTAACCCCAAGCCATTAAGGATCTTGAAGGTGGTAAATAGTGCCTGAATTACATTTGAAAACATACTGGTAGTCTAACAAAGTAACATTAGAGCTTAATGTTAAACATATAGGTTGCTGCATTTGGGAACAGCTGAGTGATCTTCAAGGGCAGCCTACATGAGTGACTGAATCACAGCCATAGAATTGAGAAAACACAAGACCATGAGTTCTTATCTGAGCAAAAGTTTATCCTGTCCTGGGATTAAAAAGTTGAGAGGATGCTCTCCTCGGAACAGCATTCACTTGTTTCTCTGGCAGGACTTAGTTAGTTTATTTATCTTGTATGCCGCCCATTCCCGAAGGACTCCGGTCGGCTCACAATAGACAAGGGAAGGGGGATAAATAGACAAAGACAACACTTTAAAAAACGCAACATTCACAGTTTCCGTGGGGCTGGATGTTTCACAAGCCCCCCCAGCCTGCTGGAGCAGCCAGGACTTGGTGGCTTTGCGGAAGGCCAGGAGGGTAGTAAGGGTCCGGACTTCCAGATTGCAAGCCTAACCTCTTGGTGGAAGCACAATATCATTGAAAATTACATGGGATGTAGTATTGGAATGAGTAGGTTTCTGAATTAGCAACTTTCAATCTTGCTAGAATACAAGTATCATCGGTATAGTGATGATATCTTACTATGAAATAGCAGATGTCATCTCAGGAGGAAGCTTGAATGTGACCCCATATCCATATCTAGTCATACTTACTTCTTGTTTTCCAACAGCATTGTTTGATGTGTTCCTTCACCTACTTGATTTTCTAAAAATCTTCAGAAAATCAAGTTGCTGGTTGGGATCAGTGGGCAGGGAAAGGCCATTCAGAAGCAATCCTGTCATCGTTTAACAGAATAACAGAGTTGGGACAGATCTTGGAGGTCTAGTCCAACTGCCTGCTCATGCAAGAAACCCTTACTATTTCAGATAAATTGTTGTCCAATCTCTTCTTAAAAACCTCCAGTATTGGAGCACCCACAATTTCTAGAGACAAGTCATTCCACTGATTTACTGTTAGGATATTTTTCCTTAGTTCTAGGTTGGTGTCCTGGTTGAATTCCAAAGGCCAATGAGACATGTAACACAATTCCACTAGATTACTATGTCAATTTTTAAGTATCACCTGGAATGCTCCTAGATCCATCAGATGTCAGAATAGGCATCTTACCTGGACTATCCTACCTTGGAGGTTAGGGATCCAGTTAACCCCATCATCACTAGAAAAGTATTGGCACATGGCAAAAACAAATCACCCTTAGATGTCTTTCAGGAGCAGATCATGTCTCATCTGTTCTGAAAGGAAGCAGATCTACTGTGTGGCCAACAAAGTAGTCTGGCTCAAAAACGACCCAGAAAAAGTTCCCCTTGTTACAATAGCTATGACAATTATTTTACAATTATATGGGCAAATTCATAACTATCTTTGGACAGTAGACTGTACAATAGCAACCCCCCCCCCAACCCTCCACTTTCTAAGCTTGTTCCTTGGACATAATTTCACAAATATGGTCTCATATCTGGCCATCATTGGAACACAGTTCTTCACAATAACCAGGTGCTTCTGGTACATAAATGCCTCAGTGTTTCCCCTATCCTGGCATCAGGACTGATGAAGGCAACAAAATCCCATTTGATAAATTTAAGTGAGAGGGAATCCCCCTCTTCCAGTCACCTCTCTGAGTACATTCATGGGAAATAAATCTTGAATTCAAAAGTATTGTGCCTGAGTTTGGTTTGCTTATCAGACCAGTTGTCTGGTTCTTGATACGGGCACAACTGTGCAATATTTCCTCCTCTGGACTGTCTCACCTGCCATACTTCGTCCTTCCTGTCATTATTATCATCCTGCCTCCATATCTAACCCCTTATCTACCTAGCCCACAACTCCCAATCATTCCAATTGCCACATAACAAGTTCCCCACTAAGAGCTGTTCCCCTTCACTTGTCCAGCCCCCTATAGATCTCCTTAGAAGTTCAGATGGAGGTAATGTATCCTCTCCGGTCCTCCCTTCCTTTTCAGTTTTCTAACATTCACTCAAACAAACAGTAGTTCTTACTTTTTCTTTTCTCTTTCATTGCTCTGTTTGTTTTTCCACTATCTCTGCTACTACCATATAAAGGAAAACAGCTCCATTGGTCCATTTAAAATAGAGTCTGTTTCATAGGCCTCCTACACAGGCAGTTGTCTGGCAAAAGCCAGGCTGTCTGATATAGTGACTATTGCCTCCACCCTGATGTACCTTATAACTTCTGCTCCATTTTCTATTCCTCCTATATTCATTCTGATTTTAACTGTGGTTCTTTATTGACTTTTCCTTGATGTTTACTTCCTTCTCTGTCCACCTAGTGTCTCAAATATAATAAAAGATGTTTCAGCCATTGTATCAGTATGCCCTCATCTCCTCTGCTCCTCGGAGGCCTGGCTGAGCAATTTCCTGACAGTAAACCTTACCATCCCCAGGGGCCCTCTTTGTCTTTGGACACAGCATTATTAGCCCTCTGAGCCCTAACTTGCCCAGTCTGCCACACTGCCCAAGTCTGAAGGTGAAGATGAATCTGAAACATCCTAGTTCTAATTCAATACTTTATTCACAGTAACACCCAATATGTATCATGCTAATTCATGTGCCAAGACATTGCCTGTTGGTTTCTGCAGTATGTAATAATATGTGAAAACATTATGGGAATCAGTATACCTTACAGTGAATAATAAATAGGCTGTCTTAAAATTGGAACGAGAACGCCATAAATCTGGTAAGAACAATAATCTATAGTTTAATTATTTTCCAAGATCTTCATCTGATAACTCTATGGAAAATGGGGTAACAGATTAATACATTTTTAAAGTATTTCCAGAGTTTTATTCTGTACTTTTTTCCATGAACACAAAAGTACAGTACTGAATTTAGATATGTATTTTCAGTGCTGGAAGCTGCCAGGTAATTAAAAATAGAATCTGGGCTGTCATCATTACTCCCCTCCTTCCTTTATTAAATCAATCATTTCCTGCAACTTTAAAGCTCTGTATAACTCTTCTGAGTATACGTCAAGCTAAATTTCAGGGTCAAACGAAGTCAAATATCTAAATTTAATAATGTAGAATAAAATAAAATAGCTTGGGAACTGTACTTCATAGTAGATGGCAAGTCATTCACATACAATGGTTATTAATATAAAATATGTCTGTCTATATTTCAGTGTCCGTGGGCTTTGAGTATGAGACCTGTCCCAGTCTGATTTTATGGGAGAAAAGGACTGCTCTACTGCAAGGCTTTGAACTTGACCCTTCAAATCTAGGTGGCTGGTCTTTGGATAAGCATCATGTACTTAATATAAAAAGTGGTAAGTTTATTTATATTCATTTTTGTGCGTGGGGTGGGGGAGGTTGTAAGTTTTACATTGGGTGGGAATCTGTTCCCTAAAGATATTGGTGAACAACTCTTACAAGCTTAGTCAACATGATTAGTGTTGCAGGATACAAAGAATTGTAGTTTAACAAAATCTGGAAGACGTTTCCCAATCCCAGTAAGCTCCATTCCCATAGGTGTGCTTGAATGCTTGTGCTAACATCTGATGGATGCAAAACAATAAGGAGGCCCTATAAGGCCAAACATATTTTAATATTTAAAATGTATGAAGAAACACTGTGCCATTCTTTGTGTTGAGACATTAGCTGCATACACACTGCTTGCTTAATCTTATAGTACTAAATTAATTTTGTGCATAAATCTACAATTTCTTTTGTGGATTTTTACAATGCATTGAACTGAAAATGAACCACGTGGCTTGAGCTTCTATAACAGACTAAGCCTCAAAAACCAAACTAAACTTAAAATTAATCAAAGTTAGCATGTTTTATGAATGTAGTTGCTAGGTGTTTGCTGGTCTAATTAACTATATTAAGTAAATACAAATATTGCATTAAGTCAGAGATGGGCCCTTGTAGCTCTTGTATCCATTTCTGATCACAACTAACCAACAATTGGTGTCAGTTTTCTTTAGGTTTGAGGTGGGGGGCAAACAAACAATTACTACAAATCCACACAAGCAAAATTTTATAGGAAGGAATCCCTTGCCTCTTGTTTCATTTATGCATTTCGTGCATAAATATGATTTTGCATATAAGAATTGCTAAGGATATGCACATAATTTAAGTATTAAGAATCTTATATAACAGAATCAGTCAAAAATGACAATTTTTGCATGCTGTTAATTAACTCACATACACATGTATACATTATAACAGTGAAACCAGTTGAGAAAAGGATATTTGAAAGTTTCATCTAAGGCAGCATTGAAATTTCTTCAGCAGAGGGTACATTTATATATAAGATTTTAAAGAACATTTTGCTATATTCTTGTAAATCATTCACACCCTGCAAGGCACAGCAAATAAATCTTTTAAATAAATGAATAAAATAATTATTTTATTTAAATTAAATTATTTGACTTATATTTCAAACTTTATTTCACATATATACATTTTCCTTCAACTTATAAAACACATTGAACTTTAACAAAAAAAAAATCAGTTGCTTGAAAGTTGACTATCACCTTTCCATGAAAAATTCAAATTATCTTGCAATACAATGTTACCGTTTAAATTTCCAGTGTCAAATATGAAACACATTTTTAAAGGAATTCATTATATAATGTCTGTTTGGCATATTCTCTGACTTCCTCATTTCTAGAAAGGTTGAATTTTTTTCCTCTCAACTCATTCACTTGAAAGAACAAAGGAGCTGATCACTTCCCAGAGCTTCAATATATTCACCACACCTGCTCTGGAAAAAAAGAAGAGAAAAATTCCCAACAATTATACCCTTGCCAAACATTCAAAGTTGATTTTGGCATCTCAGGGTGTTAATGATCTTGGGTTTTCAGGGTTGAATTCATTAAGAACCTCATGCTATTCCAAGTGGTGCATATATTAATTAATAGGAAATATCTAAGGAAAAACTACTGAATTGTCTATTTTATTGTGAGCATTACTGATTTCAGTGAAGAACATGTTTCTTTTTCCCTGTGTTAGACAAAGAGTTATCATATACAGAAAATGAATTAGATACTACATAGTTAATATTAGTCTCAAGACATAGTGCCCCCACTTCCAATGCTATATGTCCTTCCAGCTTTGCCTGTCAAATCTGGATGACACTAGGTTGGTGAAGGGTAGGGTAACTTGTTAAAGTTAGCAAAAATAAAGAACATTGGCTAGCAGAAACCTATGAACTATGTCCTTACAATTTGAATTATGTACTAAAATTCTGAAGACAGATAAATTCCAGTCAGAGGATTTGGCACTGAAAATCATCCCATGAATTAAAATAAAAATGCAATGTGCTTTTCTGCACGTTGTTAGGTATTCTACACAAAGGTAGTGGAGAGAATCAGTTTCTAACTCAACAACCAGCAGTAATTACGAGCATTATGGGAAATGGTCGTCGTCGAAGTATCTCCTGTCCAAGTTGCAATGGACTTGCAGAAGGAAACAAACTTCTTGCCCCTGTTGCACTTGCGGTGGGAATTGATGGGAGCCTGTTCGTTGGGGATTTCAACTACATTCGACGCATCTTTCCCTCAAGGAACGTCACCAGCATTTTGGAATTAAGGTAATGCCACTGCTAAAAGCACCACTATAAAAGCTTTCCTAAGTGATTTTCTTTATAGCTTTCTAGACTGTTGTTGCTTGTAGCCCTCAGCACAATCCGCTGTTCACAACTGATAGGTGAACATGACTGATGGATCAAAACTGGCATAAAGTTGTATTTTTCCCTCTTCCTTTGGAGATTATAATGGGAATTCAAGCAGTTCATGAATTGTGCAATTCACCATTAAAGAATCAGAATGAGCATTATCATAAAATCTTCCTTGTCTTTGGAAAGCCGGGAATGTGGGTGGAAGTTAACTTTTTGTTTTCTTTTTAAAAAGGGACTGAAGAAGAGAAAATGGGCATAATAGCAATAGGAGGGAGGACTTAAATTAGGAAAGGAGAAAAATAAATTAGGAATCAAAAGACTGTTAAATCTGTTAAAGCAGTTAAGATGGTCAGGAAAGAAAAAAACAAAAAGAAAAGAACGGGCTCAGAATTGAAAAGCAGGAAATTGGCAGTGAGAATGGTAAAGTTAGAAGAAGGGGAAAGGAATATTTCAGGAGAAAAGGAAGGGAAAAAGGACATAGGAGAAGATTAGGAGAAAGTGTGTATGTACAGAATAATAGTAAAATGAAAGAAGAGAATGAAAAATAGCAATTGCTAAAATAACCAATGTTTTTAGTCCAGCATTGTATATACACATTGGCCAATCAAATGGTTTTGGAAATTAATAAATAGAATATGACGACTATAGCGTATTCTTGTTTCTATTCCCAAGTAAGTGCTGAACCTTTCTGAATTCATCTTTAATTGTTGGTTGTAGCATGAGAATAGGAGAAAAAACAATGCTCACATATTCTGTGTGTAATTTCATATACCTTTATCACATAATCATTTTCAAGTTAGCAAGCCAAAACATTTAATTTTTTCCCCTTAAAGTGGAGTTCTAACCTTGAGACATTTTAATTTCTTTTTTGTCCCTTTTGGATTCAGCATTATGGATTTTGAGATGAACAGAATTATGTACAGTAGTGCAAGTGTTATCAGCTGCATATTTGCATTTATTTTTATGGCATGGTTGGGCAATTCATAGTCCACCTATATCCCTTTTCTAAGCTCCTAGAATGGGCAGCAGGACTAAAAAAATTAAATTCATTTTAATTCTTTTTATATTTTGGGCAGAGCTTTAAAGGACAAATTAGATACCTTACAAATGTCTTAAACTGATTAGATACCTTACAAATGTCTTAAACTAAAGAAAAGAGGATCTGAAAATGTCAGTCTTCCAAATTCTGGTATTCCATCATACTTTCACAGCCCTCATTTTCAAAGTAGTTTCATATTGAGGTGAGACAACTTTCATTAAGCTGTCCACCACCAATTTAAATCTTCTGATTATAGCAATAGTACCTGGACTTATATACTGCTTCACAGTGCTTTACAGCTCTCTATAAGCAGTTTACAGAGTCAACATATTGCCCCCAACAATCTAGGTCTTCATTTTACTGACCTCGGAAGGATGGAAGGCTGAGTCAACCTTGAGCAGGTGAGACTCGAACTGCCAAACTGCTGGCAGACAGCAGTCAACAGAAGTAGTTTGCAGTACTGCATTCTAACCACTGTGTCACCAAGGACAATTATACTTGTGATATTGGGATATTTCTATTTCAGTGGCATATTATAATTGATTTTGTTGAATCATATTTACCTTTTTTAGTGAAAGCTGAAATCTCTCTCCTGATTTCTAGATAATTTATGAATATGGGATAGAATACAACTTTTATTTCACAGTTGTTAAATGGTAAATGCTGCTTTACCATTTCTAGCTTGCAACTTCAAAACTGGAGTCACAAACTCCATGTAGATAAAGGTTAAAACTGCTCACACTATCTGAAAATCCATTGTCCTAAAACATACAAACTGCTGAAAACCAGAGCTATGTGTAATATTAATCATTTTGCTAATTCTAATAGATTAATACTTGTTTGTTTAAAGGAAGAAATCTTTTTCTTGATTATACAAAACAAGAAATGAACTTTTGTCCGTTGGTTTCCTCAAGATTTTTTTTAAAGTGAATCCATTAGAATATTTTTTTACAATATTGTCTAGCATTGATTAGGTCCATAGCAAATGGAGACTGATCAGTGGAATTCTGATTGAATTCAGTATAATGTAGTGTTTGCTGCCTTCTCAAGCATCTAATCAGTCATAGTTTTGCAATTAATGGAAATGAAACAAAGAATGGATCCCATATAAACAAATATAGACTAGGGGTGTTCAGGAGCATGAGATAGGTTAGAATAATTCAGAGGTGATTGCATTTTAACAATGGTGGAGTAGACAGAGCTAAGCCTGGTTTAGAATTCTTGGTGTTCTCTGAACTTGCAGACCTTTCATTACCCAGCAAGACAACATCATCAGTACAAGTTACCTGCCTGTTTATATGCAATAACTTGCCCTGCCAATTTTGGCGGGGATGTGAGTTCTTATTTAAATCCACTTTGTTTTGATTTTAGAGTTACACAAAGCATTTTTCTAATACTTAATCATATTGAAGAGTACAGTACCAATTTTGCAACTAGGCCAAAAAGTAGGGGGAGAAAATGTGATAATACAGTATTTAATAGGTAGAGTGGAAGAAAGAAAAGAGTACTGAATTTAATAATGAGCACACCATACTGCAGCTGTAGATCACTTTTTTCTTCTCTTGAGATACTATATGACTAAATTGTTTGTATTGCATTACCCTAGCTGACCTGATGTAGTGAATTATTTCTTTTATTGAAAAAAATACATAATTTTGTGTGCAAGTATGACCATCATATGCAAAAATAGGTATCATTCATTTTAATCACCCTTTCTCTGTGCACAAAAGTCCACATTCTGCCTAAACATTTATCACAGATGGTTTCCATTATAAGAACTAATATTGCTGCAAATTGCTATGCATTCTAAATGTATGCAAAAATAGGACACTTAAAATAATAAGATAAGACATAACAAAGTGTTCCAAATCCATGCAAAAATATAAGTGAAATTATAATTTAATCTATTTTCTCTGTAAACAAAAGGTATTCTTGTAGTGTGCATCATTTTCCCAAATTTTCATTTAGACCAAGCATTCAGAATGACATAATCAGAAATTCACTGGGGCACCAAATTGAGTTACATTCCTGCAATAGGCCTGAATTGAATTATCTGTGCCAAATCGAGATGGAGCTATTTCCTTTTAATTTTTCAGATATGACAGTTTTGAGGAAATAAAAGAATAAAAGAGAGAGAAAGATTTTGACATGTGACATTTACAGATGCAAAATATAATTATAGGAAAAATTAACTGATAGTAGTCTTATAAATGGCTCTCAGTCCTACCAGTTAAACGGGACATCCATGTTCAGAGAGGAAGTCTTGCAAGTTGAATGTAAGTTTCTGGGAGAAGACTGGAGGAACTTAGTAGTTGAACATTGTGAGATTAAATGAGAATTACATTCAATTATGATCCAATAAATGATTCATTGAAATTATATTCCAGTACAATAAAAAGACATGACTTAGCTTCCAAAGTTTGTGAAATATCACAAAAAGCAGAGGATACCCAGCATACCTGCACACACTAGCTTTAAAGCTGATGGACCAACACATTGTAAAATGAAGTTGATTTATTCAGGAAAGTTCTAGTAATGTTGGTCTTTCATATCCATAAATTTATATTTGTTGATTATTCAACTGAGATTGATTAAAAGAAAAGAAGAACCATATTTATGCCCTAAAATATGTTAAGAGGACAATATTCAGAAATCTTTATCTTGGTCCCCTTTGTGAATGCCTAGATTGTATCCATAATTTTGTTAATTACAAACTAATTAGAGCTATAGAATAATAAATTGACTTCTAGGAACCATAATAGCTTTTGTGGGATGCAGCAAACCTTCTATCAAGCTATCTTATTTAGGCACTAGACCAGGGGTGGGTCTAGTCTACTGCCGCATGCACACTGCAATTAAAATTGTTCCGTGCATGTGCAGAACTAAAAAATAAGATGGCGGCGCCTACGGCACCACCTGGACAACCAGTTCAGGGATGTGGCAGGCCTGGGTTGCTGCCAGTTCCAGTGACCCAGGCCACCAAACCACTACCAGTTCAGCCAAACCGGTAGAAACCCACCATTGCACTAAACTAGGAAATATTATGGAAAGAACATATGGTACTTTGGTTTCAACATAGCATTTAGGAGATCTCCCAGAATATTTTGGTTGGTGGAACTATAAAATGTGGATTGAGTTACATGAATCAACAGTTGATTAAGCAGTCATACTCAATGAATGTTCATTAACATGTCTGCATTAGCATGGATAGACACTTCCCTGCCCCACCCCTCCCCAGGAACTTGTAGTAGACCTTGTCCTGGATTAGAGCATCAAATGCATATAAAGTGAAGCTGGAAATTGTAGGCTGCAACATGGAAGGTAGAATGCAGATTTAAAAGGATCTCTAAACTATGCCAAAATTAGATTACCTTAGATTCATTTGAGATAAATATCATCAAGCTGGGGGAGACTGGTTTGAGAACTATAAGTATAAAAATTATGTGTGACTTAACATTCAAACTGAATAAGAAATGGCAATCAGTGCAACTTCCAGGAAAAAATGGAACAATCTTAGGTTGCAGTAACAGGAGCCCAGTGTTTAGTAATAATCCTATATTCAGTATTAGTCTAATCACATTTAGAGTACTGCACCCTATTTCATCTACTAAGAAGAGTATGAAAAATTTGAAGAAGGGACAGAAGGGACTATTGTATTCTTACAATATAAATCTTAAGGGTCCGTCCCAGTAGATACGGGGAGAGCAACACTTGCTATATGGCTTCATGCCTGAATAAGACAAGATTAATGTTGGGAACAGGTTTCTTTTCTCCATCTTGTAGAATAAGACAATATGCAATGTTTGCTACATGGTCTCTTCTTCAGCTAACTGTTCTCTCTTTCTCCCCCCCTCCCCCTTGTTTCTTTTCTATTTTCTTTCTGTAAAGAAATAAAGAATTTAAACATAGGTAAGCCAAGTTTGCAATCCTATTATCATTTGCTACCGCTTGCTTGCTCCATTTTGTTTGCTTTTTGTGTTGTGCTTTTTTGTGTAACGTTCTGTTTTTAATGCATCAGGTATAGCAATATTAATGTGCTAATTTTGTGTTAGAAATACGGTAAGCACTAGTAGTTATACAAATGTAGGGTAAAAAAGCAACCAAAGAATTATCTAATGGAACGAGAACATAATGAACTCCAAGTCAACTTCAATATGACCATTATCTCTGTGTAGTGGCTAATTCGCTTAAATAGTTGAGGAAAACTCGAGCAGTGGCTCTTGTAAATGCTGAAAAGGATTTAGAAAACCACTAATGGACTAGAAATGGGTCAAAAACTCATTTCCAATTCATTAAAGGATTTTTCCCCCTCCAGATTTGTTCTCCCATTCCATCTCACCCTTTAACTCAATATTATTAGGGTACTTTGAACAGATTATATCCAATCACCAACCTCATTAATTATTTTGAAGTGAGTTTAAATTCCTTTGCAAAAGGTTTCATTCCTTTTGCTGCTCACTTTTTGGATGCATGGTTTTGCTCAGTCACTCTGCACCTTTGGATAGTGTCCTAGAAGTACGTGAAAAACCACGAAAGACAATCAGGCATTTACTTGCTAGGCATTTTTTTGCAATTCCTATATAGCTGCTCATTCTCAAAAGATACATTTTTGGGAAATGTTTTAACATTTGAATAATTAAGGCATAAAAACATCAAAATAGATCCAGTCTGATACTGCAAATAAAGTTTCATTTTGGATATATTATAAATCTCTTGATGTAATTGCTAAATTCAAATGCATTGTCCTTACTCTAACACAAATTAGCATTTGTGAAATTGAGCTGCTGAAATGAAAATGGAAGATTCTATGTTAAATGATGTTTGTGCTTGTATACAAGGTAGTTGTTGGCCCAGTCCAATTCACCTGTGTTACTAATAAACTCACTTAGTGTTACACGATACTAGAAATCTTAAATTATCACAGTCAATTTAGGATACTCACATTATTAAAAAAAAGTCAAAGCAGTGCAATTAAAGTTTAACCTGTTTTATGTGTATTAAATGCAAACAATGCACAATACACATTGAAAATGGGCAGAGCTTTGATTGCATTATTGTGGGCGTCATCTTGACTTATTTTCTCTTACTCCAGGACCTCTCTTTTAATGATAAAATCAGCAAAAGATGTTGGGGTTGGTTGGAGATTTATTTATTTATTTATTTATTTGCATTTTTACCACTTCATTCACAAGGGTATCATCCAATCTGAGTATCATCAAATCCCAGTTTGCAACAATGCCTAATGTAATTGGCCAGAACATCTCTTATTGTGGAGCTGGCTTTATTTATCTCACTCTGCTCCCTCAAGAAATCTACTTAACAAGAGATAACTTAATTTTCTGTCTTTGTTCTGCTGTCTTTTAAAAACTCTCTTGGCTTTTAAAGGAGTTTGCCCTGTGTCACCTAGGGCTGGCATCTGCAGAGATCTTATTTAAAATACTCATTCCATCTGCCTGTTAGCCCAGGGATGTTTGTGCAGGACTATCTTCATTTAGTCCAGTTGTCTATTTGAATAGCTGAAGCTGACATTTCTAAATTTGCAGGTGGTTCACTTGCTCCACACCTTGAACACCTGTCAAAATAGATTTATTAGAAAAGGCCTCTAATATCTCAAGACACTCAATGACCCTATGAAATAAGGCAGAAAGATTTCAGCAAAACAATAGCTTAGCTTTGTGTCAGATCTGAGGGACTTGTTATTGCCATATAGAGAATTAACACTGCAGGCTTCCATAAATAGTATTTTAGGATTGATTTGTTGTGAAGGCAAAAAAGAAAAGATTTGCCACGAAACTAAACTATTATGTGCTTGGCAGAAATGTGCAAGTTTACAGGATAGCTACAGATTACAGAATGCTAATCTTACAAGAAAACAGGAATGAGGCAATCATGCTTTCAGGAAACCTTAGAGACTAATTAGTCCATACTGTACAATGCCTTCTGGAAGATGAAAATATTATGAAAGCCTTCTCTGCAGTAATGCTGCACCTATAAAGAAGAATATTTGTAGACCAGGGTTGAAATGTGTGGTCCTTGGTGCTCTCTGAGCTTGGTTGTTTTCTTGCAGAGGTTTCATTACCCAAAGTAGGTAACATCATCAGCTAGCACTGATGCTGCTGCAAGAAAACAATCAAGTTCAGAGCGCCCCAAGGAGCCCACAATGCTATACCTCTTTGAACCATGAGGATGGTGGATGACAGCTAAAGCTTGATTGCAATACTAGTGCTGAAGTTGATCACTTCAGCACTAGTACTGAGACATAAGAAACACATGGAAGAAAACCAAAGCATTTGATGTCAAATTGTCTATATTGTATACGTTTTACTTACTGAATAGATTCCCTGTGCTTTATGAACCATTGTAAGATCACTATATCCTCCACTGAACATCATCCAAAAAAAAATAGGACTGTTCTGTGCATTCCTTATTGCACACAGAGGCATTCTTAGTCTCTTAATGAGCCCCCTGCTCTTTATACAAATTGAATGACACTATGGCTGAGATAAAATCTAAACCAAGTTATCCAGATCATAACTTCAAATTACCTACCTTGAAATAATTATAAATTGGAAAGTATTAATGAACACATACAAAGCTCATGTCTCTTTAAAAAAAAAAAAACCTACTTGTGATGCTGGACTAAAGCTTCTATCTTGAAGGCTGTAGGCAAGATCCAACCAATGAACTGTTTCAAAAGCAAGTAGGAGTGTAAGCAGCTTAGAAACATGCAACTGGCTGTTTCAGTTACATATTTACCTAGAGGTAACATTGAAAAATCATACAAGATCACACATTATCATGACAGGAATGAGCAGAGATTGTCCATGTGCTAACATACATTCTCAAGTACAGGTAGTCCTCAACTTATAACAGCAATTAGAACTAGGATTTCCATTGCTAAGCAATGCAATCGTAAGACATAACCCCATCCCTTAACAAGGGCAATCTCTACATTGCTGGTTGCTGTTGTTAACTGGATCCCAGAGTTGTTAGGTGAAGCAGCATCCTGCTGGCTTTGCACAACCAAAGTTGATGAAGAAGCAGGAAATTGAAAGCCTCAGGCCAACAGACAAGTCAATGGCTGCTACGGGGAGAAGGCAAGGGGATACATAGTGATTCAAGAGATGGTCAGGGACAGTGTGAGTGGGTGCAAAGGCATGCACCAGAGGCAGGGTGAGGGTCAGGGAGGGTGGATAAGGGGATGCAAGGATGCAATGGGGTACATGAGAAGCATGACATGGGTTGAAAAAGGAGTACTAAGTAGTGTGCAAGAAGTGTGGTACAGGTTGGTGTTGTGAGGAGATATGCAAGAGGCATGGCACAGATCAGGAAGTGTGCAGAAGAGGTGCATGGGGTGGGGGCAATTAATTGGCACAATTTGAATACATAGGGTCTAAGGAATAGTATGCAGGTGGGAAAAATTTACCCCAGTGACTTGGTCTCTTCCCTGAATGACAACAAAAGTTGCATGTGGTGATCATACGGCATTGCAACTGGTCATAAGTGCAAACCAGCTGCCAAACACCCAAATTGTGATCACATGACTGGGGGGATGGTATCCTAGGATGGCCAGAATTTCAAAGAGCAATCATTTGTTCAGTGTTATTGTAACTTTAAATAATCATAGGTCAAGGACTACCTGTACTATATCTTGGGAGGCATCAAAGTCTGCTTTGGCATAACCACCACTTCACACAGTCAGACAAATATGAATATGTGGCTGATTTTAGAAATTTTCCTAATCCATAAGTTCCAGCTTCCTTATTTCAAACAAGCAGTAACTAAGATAAAACACAGCGGAAATTATTTCACTATACATTTTTATATTGTGAGAAAATTGTTTTCTGGGCAATCAGTAATAATAGCAAAGCCATTCCCACATACTTTAAATGCATGTTATTCCTTTTCTCAAAGGGAAATGTGAAGCACTTCAAAGCTTGGGCTTTAAAGAGAAAACCTTCGAAGAGGGAACCTGTTTAGAACCTCTTGAATTTATTTTAATAACAAAGACTGTTTTGCCCTACTTCAGCTTTAACCTTGAAAGTGACTAATCTTATGACATTTGTTACTATTTTGGAATACTAAATGTAGGTGTTATACTTCTAATCATCCCAGGCTACCCACCACACTATAAAACCTCTTTCTATAAAAGCTTTTTATTAAGAGGAAAGAATGTATGCAATTAAAAATTATGAGTCTACCTATTTTTTATAGAGCATTAGAGAAGGTTAGACTATTCTTTATTATTTGGCAATGTAGGAAGATGGGATAAAGATTTTACAAGCCAGCACAGATGCTATAAAAAAAAAAATTTTTTTTTGAAGAATAACAGCCTCCTGTCAAAAGCAATTTAAAACTCGGGTCTCATGTATTTTTGCTTTTGTGGTTACATTATTTCTTAAAGCATTGTTCCAAAACAAAACGTTTATGCTCTGTATAATAAATAGATTCTCATGGATGGAAAAAAAAGAAACCCATAAATGGAAATTCATGAGAATCATATATGTTTCCAGTGCCCTTGTTACTGAGATGTATTCCAGTTTTGGAGATGTGGGGGAAATAGAATGATGTAATGCTCAAAGAAAGATTGATTAAAATCCAAAGTGGATTTGCCTTATAATTGACAGGAACCTCTTAGTGAGCTAAGCTGTTAAGAACTGAATCTAACATTTACACTCCAAAATTACCTCAGAAGTAAATTTCACTGAGTTCATATTATTCAGATATTGGTGTACTCTGTCTCATATTGGTGTAAACAGGAATAATTTGAGATAAAACATGCCACCAACATTCACTTAAGTAAAATAAAACTAGGGGGTTATGTAAAAGCCCTCGCCAGCTTTATTTATTTACCACTTTTCCATCTGCCCATCATCCAAGGAATTCAAAATGATAGGTAATGAGTGGCATTATTGTCCCTCAGATTTGCACAATCACAATCCTGCAATTGGAGAGGCTGTGAATGAAGACATTTTTTCAGGCTATCGTGTCAGTTTAGAACAGAGTTTTTCTCACACCCAAAGCTAAACTCTACCCATTCTAGCCAAACTAAAAGGAAATGTGAATTGGGGTTGCCAGACCTCATGGCATGCTACGAAACCAGTACAAGTAGACACCTAGCAGATGCTTTGGCATAACATGCCAAGCTCGTTTAACTGGTTTAGCTCTTGTAGGGCTTGGTGTGTTGTGTGAAGTCAGTTAATTGGGTTATTGTATTGTGTGAATCCAGAAATAGGAACTAGGTTAAGCATGTTTAAGGCAGATTTTTTGTGTATATGGGGTTGCTTTTAGACAGAAGGATGGCAAAATCATGCTTCTGGACTGAAACTGATTAATATACTGTATGTCTGCTCAATTATCTCTCTGTACACCAGACCTTCTGAAGCTATCATTTTTATCTCTCTCTCTCTCTCTTTCTCCTCAAGTAACAATCCTGCTCACAAGTACTACCTAGCTGTGGATCCTGTTTCGGGCTCTCTTTATGTTTCGGATACCAACAGTCGTCGTATTTTCAGAGTCAAAAGCCTTACTGGTGCAAAAGACCTGGCTGGTAATTCGGAAGTGGTCGCAGGGACAGGGGAACAGTGCCTGCCTTTTGATGAGGCCAGATGTGGTGATGGAGGGAAAGCAGTAGATGCAACATTAATGAGCCCTCGAGGTAAGAGACAACACAGGCAGCATCTGCTGAGGTTTACCAAATGGCTGATTTGGGTAGGATAACCCAGAAATAAAACATTTACTCGAAACATTGTTTATTGGCCCTAGGATTGCAGTCCTTTGGAATTAATGAAAACACTAGAAAAACTTTAAAGACATACTGAATAAAATAAATTGCTACCTAATGGCCATGTATAAAGTCTAGCTTCCAAATTGAATGAATAAAATATATTCTGACTTATTATATTGAAAATGACATTATGGTGAGCTTTCTTTAATTGTTCAAACTGAATGTTGTTCCTACTCCCAAACATATCCTTGGATGTTGTAGGCCAAGAATATCTTTGGATCATTGAGCACATTGATAATTTCAAAAACATATCTTGGATACTCCAACAAAACAATCATTTACTAAACTTAGCAAAAGTTGCTTCTCGTACTCTCTGTCACTTCCTCTTTATCTTTCCCCCCAATTTCAGGCAGGTAAGCATATTTGCAAACAAAAGACTGAGCTGTCCACACCTACTAGGTTTATTTTTTCAGAATACCCACAGGGCTTACACAGAGCCCAGAGGCCTTCTTGGAAATAAAAGTAATGCTGGAAATGTGTGTTTTCTCTTGCAGCATGTCATCTTTCCATGTAATTATTTTTAATAAAGAAAAAACAGGTAAAAGCAATAGATAAAATTGAGTGGCACAGGGAGCTTGGTGAATACCTAGTCCCAGATACTAGGCAACATTTACTAACTTTTTGTTGCAAAGTAGCAACACTGTATTGACATCAGTAGTTGAAACAGATAAAAAATAAAGAGGTGCAGAAGAACGGGATGATATAACTTTTTTGGACCCAAATGCCTGGACTCAATTATTGACAGATATGTTTTAAAAGTTTGAAGATTGTTTCCCCTTCAAATGCATGTGTGAATGTATTTTCTTAGCAGTTTAGACATTAATGGCTGTGTGTTGCATTATTTTGAGGGGACAGCACGTTTACACTCTTATACAAGCTGTATACTCACTACTTTACATTGTAGCCTAGTGTCACTTCTTCAGTGTTGTCACATGAAAATATATACTTCTGTGATGTACTATAATTTATTTAACAATTTTCAAAATCATTCCTTTATAACATTTGTCAATGCTTTCTGTGTAAAACTGACAATGCAAGCACACATTTCTGAGATAAAATTTGACAAAGTGCCTTTCATAGAGAGAACAATGGCAAGAAATCTGAAGAACTTTAGGGTGGCATGGTAACAAATGGCATAGGCAGTGAGATTTTCTGAAATTTATCCGAAAGCTTTATTCCTAGATTTCCAAATTATGTTTTATTTAAATGTAGTCTGTACTGTGAAAAAAAGAATGATTAACCTTTTTTTAAATACAAGGCAAAAGAAAACAAGTCACGTTGTATTAGGGTTCGAATGAATTTATAGAAATTAAAAATTTAAAAAAAAATGGACTTTAATGAGAAATACTCTTTTAATTGGCCAAAACTGAATTTGAAAACATCAAAATAATAAATTATCAGGGAAATGGTCGATATATAATGATAGATGATAGATGATGATATATACAGTGTAATCTAATCTTATTTTTGCTTCTATTTCATGTTGGCAGGTATTGCAGTGGATAAATATGGCCTTATGTATTTTGTTGATGCAACAATGATCAGGAAAGTTGATCAGAATGGTATCATATCAACTCTGCTGGGCTCTAATGACTTAACTGCTGTTCGGCCACTGAGCTGTGATTCCAGCATGGATGTCACCCAGGTAGAATGTTATTTGCTTCTGATAATAAAACAGATGGATAAATGTCTTGTGGTTATCTCCAAGATACACCAGAAGTTCCAACCTGCTGGGAGAAAAAGTTATTGCTGATTATACAACATATAATGTTTAACATAATTAGCAACACAAAAAAACCAAGCCTTCTTTTCAGAACCTTCTATACATCTACAATAGAAAAAAAATGTGATACATTAATGTGGTTTAATCAGCTTTGGTTATCCTTTATCTGGAAAGGGGGCAATTAATCCTTTATATAAGCATCCAGAGAGCTGACTGCATGTAGGTTTAATGAATACTGAAAAGAATATTGTCTAAGGCAATTGCATACAGCTTTGATCCTTTACTAACTCCATTAAAACTGGTCAATTATTTGCTGTTCCACACAAACCTTTGTTCATCCAAAGTTTTTAAAGCAATAGTAATGTGTTGCTTATTCTATAGGTGCGACTGGAGTGGCCAACTGACCTGGCTGTCAATCCAATGGATAACTCACTGTATGTTTTGGAGAATAATGTCATCTTGCGAATCACTGAGAACCATCAGGTTAGCATCATTGCTGGTCGTCCAATGCACTGTCAGGTTCCTGGGATAGACTACTCACTTAGTAAACTGGCCATTCATTCCGCTTTGGAGTCAGCCAGTGCCATCGCCATTTCACACGCTGGTATTCTTTACATCAGTGAGACAGATGAGAAAAAAATTAACCGCCTTCGTCAAGTCACCACGAATGGCGAGATTTGCCTTCTGGCTGGGGCAGCTTCAGACTGTGACTGCAAAAATGACGTGAACTGCAATTGCTATGCTGGGGATGATGCTTATGCAACTGATGCCATCTTAAATACTCCATCTTCCTTAGCTGTGGCACCAGATGGTACGATTTACATAGCAGATCTTGGAAACATACGCATCAGAGCGGTCAGCAAAAATAAACCAGTTCTCAACTCTTTCAACCAATATGAAATCGCTTCACCAAGAGAGCAAGAGCTGTACATCTTCAACATTGATGGCATCCATCAATATACTCTCAGTCTTGTTACGGGAGAATATCTATATAATTTTACTTATAGTGCTGATAACGATGTGACTGAATTGGTTGATAACAACGGCAACTCTCTGAAAATTAGGCGGGATACAAATGGAGCTGCACGCCATTTTTTAATGCCTGACAACCAAATTGTGACTCTTGCTGTCAGCACCAATGGTGGTCTTAAAGCAGTGTCAACCCAGACCTTGGAACTTGGATTAATGACCTATCATGGAAGCAGTGGTCTTCTGGCAACCAAAAGTGATGAAACGGGATGGACAACCTTTTATGAGTAAGGCTGTTTTTAGACTAACCTATAGTGCATATTCATTGTCTATCTGAGTAATCATCTGTCTTCATAAGGCATAAGGTAGTAAGTGTTTTTTTCCTAATGCAGGATGGCTCAAATAAGGAAGGTCTAAGCATGTTGAGTGGTCTCCAAAGGGAGCCTGAGCACTCACTTTTGCATGCATGTTCTTGTTTACTCTTATTGTGTCACTATGGGTTTTCATATAGCTTGAATTATTTTATGCAAAAATAAAATTCAACAGAGTCAAAGATGGAGCTAAAATAATGGATAAAACATTGGTAAGAGAACATTGAATGAATTAACCAGTGCTCTGGTTCAGTCGTGGGGGAAAAGTATACCATTGTAGTTCATTTACAGATTTTTTATTTATATTAATAATGCAGTAATATGTTTCTTATAAAAATAATGCATATAGAACAATTTGATGCAGTAGTTAAGACAGCAGGCTATAAACCAGGAGACTATGAATTCTAGTCATGCCTTAAGCATGAAAGCCATCTGAGTGAGCTTGGGGCCAATCAATCTTTCTCAACCTAAGTCACCTCTCAGGGCTGTCACTGCAGCAAAATTAGGATAAGGAAGGAGTATTGGGTATGTATACTGCCTTGAGTTATTTATAAAAAAATAATAAAAGTGGAATAACATTTTTTTTAAAAAAAAGATGCCACATAGTCTTTATTATTGAACCCAGAGAAAACAACTTTGAAGTAATTCTGAAGATAGAGCTTGGTAAAAGTGGGTGTAATTTTGAAATGCCTAAATAATTTATTGGTGTCCAGTACTAGTAGGAAAAAACTTTGTTAACCTTGTCTGTCAGGACAGAGGATATTTATTTGCCCTATTTATACTGCCTAATAGACTGTGGCTACATCCCAGTAATCTTCCTCCCCACAGGGATATCAATATTACAGTTACTTTTGGAATTCAGGTAACAAATCTTGTCCTTCAAATGTCAGGATAGTGGGATCATGTTCTATATAAGCAGATAAAGCATTGATAAAATTGCTTCTTTCTGCAGATAGTGAGGAAATTGCATATATAAGTATGTGACATACTATGTGACATACTATTTCCAGAGAGTCCAAAAATTGCACTTACTTCGGGAATTAGGTGAGAAAGAAAATGCTTTTCTATATAATTGCAAGACATTAAAGTGTTGTGCATTCTTTTAAAATAACCTACGCAAGCAAAGCAGGTTTTTTAATTGGCATTCTGCAAAATTAAAAAATTGGTGATTAAAAATACTAATTTCAAAAAGATCATTTCATAGCTAGAAATGGATAATATATTAACATACACATCTAAGCTACTTTTTTATCTTTCAGAGTTTGCACTCAAAAATAAAATAACTACTTATAAGAAAGCATGCAAACTTTGTACGCTAAGAATCAAGCTACATTACCTATTTAACTCTATTGCTACAAGTTCAGCCCCATTGTCCAAAGTAGAATATTTTTTTAATGACACATTTGCTATAGATTAATATTTGCATGTTAGGAAATTGTCCATTGTAATGAAAAATCAAGACAGTGCCTCAGATCTACTCACAAGAAGCTTGCTGTTTCACATGAGCATATGTACACTTGGTTGCTCACAATGTTCCAGTCTGAATCTAATGCTAAATTACTGAATTTAGGGGGAGGGGTGGGGAGATCATCACTTTCTTCTTCTCTCCTCTCCTTGGGTACAGCCACAAGATTAGAAGCTTCAGATTTTTTTAGTTTATCATTAAATTAGCTTTCAATTATATTCAGGGGTGGGCTTCAAAAATTTCAGCAACAGGTTCTCTGCCCAGTTGCTGTGTGAGCGTGGACATGGTGGTCATAACCTAGCTGGCCTCCTGTACAGGGGGGTGGGATTTTGCCTTCTCCAGGCTTTAGAGGCTTTCCTTGAGCCTCTGGGAGGGCAAAAACGTTTCGGAGGCCAGAATATAGCAATAGCAGTAGACTTATATACCGCTTCATAGGCCTTTCAGGCCTCTCTAAGCGGTTTACAGAGAGTCAGCATATTGCCCCCAACAATCTGGGTCCTCATTTTACCCACCTCGGAAGGATGGAAGGCTGAGTCAACCCTGAGCCGGTGAGATTTGAACCGCTGACCTGCTGATCTAGCAGTAGCCTGCAGTGCTGCATTTAACCACTGCGCCACCTTGGCCTGTTTCTGGCTTTCCAGAAATTCCAGGAGGTCCGTTTCCCCCCCCCCCCTTTGAGCCTCCACACGGGCCCTGCACTTACCTCGCATCCAAAACGGGCCATGTGGAGACTCTGGGAGGGGAGAGGTGGGAGGGGAGGGGCCAGCCAGGGATGGGATTTGGAGGTTCCCCAAACTGGCCATAATGTTAGCTATGAGTTCTCCCAAACCAGGGCGAACCCGTAGCAACCCACCCCTAATTATATTTGAACCAAACCAAAAACTGTCTAATTTAAGTAATCCAAAAATTTTAAAGAAATTAATGATTCTTTTTTTTTAACTTTTGACCATTTCTTTCAAAAAATGATGATTTAAACTAACTGCAGATTCAGGTATCATTGAAATGCAGTCAGTGCAACACAGGAGGCAGAAACAACGGAGAAGTGAGAGGAAAACTGGAGATTTAGTTTGACAATTCTTAGTCAAGAATTCTCAATGAGACTAAAACAATCTGTGTACATGATAACAATTACCTGATGAACTTGCATCTAAGGGCCTTTCTCTGTTGCTGAGTTATCTAGCCATACCTAACCAGCAGCTATACTGGTCAATGATTGAAATAAAGATTCGATTTGACTAGCACAATGCTGTTACATCCAACTCTTCAGTTAGACAACAGCTGAGTGGCAGCTGATGTGGTTCAGAGGCGGGGAGGAGTATGTACATTAGCCAATAAGTAGTACCCATCCCACCCATTACTGGACAGCTCCTTTTTCAATCACATCATATGAAGTAAAATGGAAGAGATTATGTAATGCAATGATATTAGGTTAAAGCTGGAAACGCTGTTTAAATATTAGTACAGTTAAAGATGACAGATGTCCCTCTCACTTATGGATCAGATATGAAATTCACATGAAGACATGGAAGAAAAAAATTGCTATGATGTTTGCACTGCTCAAGTGCAAGTGGGTTCAAATAGACAGACTTACAATATGAGAATTGCACTTTTCAGAAGAAATGCCTGTTGCAAATTTGTCCTGGGAATGTTTCTTGTTTCCCCACCCTCAGCCCAAGTCGTGCTTTTCGATGAACCGAAAGAAGCGTTTCTTTCATTTTGACTATTAATGACTTATTGGGTTTTTTTAATGTATGATTCTCACACCAAACAAATGTAATTCGAGAGCATAAATAATCATATGTCTGGTTTTTCTGATTGAAAAATAATATTTTCAAAGGCTCGTTTCATTTTTTGTTATTTTGATGAAATTTGTTGAAGTTCAGCAGTGCCATCTGCAGGTCCAGTTTGTAAAATGATAGTATACAGATGCAGACCTTTCTTAAATCTTACTGATAAAAGTTGCAATATGACTTTCAAGAGTAGTAAATGGGTGATCACATCCCATTAGTCCCGGTTTGTAAGACTAACTTACAATGTATTTGTAACATTCTTCATCCAATATAGCATGAAGTACTGTTTTGAACACAAAGGAGAAGAAAGAAGAATGGATAGATTAGTTCTCTTTGTTTTAGTTGTTTGGGCTTTTTTTTAGCTTCATTAGTTTAGGCATACAGGTGCTCAGTTCCTGAGCTGTCTGATTTATTTATTTATTTATTTATTTATTTATTTACTTACTTACTTACTTACTTACTTACTTACTTACTTACTTACTTACTTACTTACTTACTTACTTACTTACTTACTTACTTACTTACTTACTTACTTACTTACTTACTTACTTATTATAAAATTTATCTAACCACCCATTTCCCCAAGAGTGACTCTGGGTAGCACACAATAAAACATCAATAAAGGAAAATAAAGTGTTTTTTTTTTAATGACTAGCTAAGGTTTATAATTAAAATAATAGTTAAGTAGCAGATTCATGCAGAATAATGGTAAATGGTGTGTGTATTTGTGTCTGTTACTTTCAAAAGACACACAATTTGTTAACTTAAAGAATAAGGTGCCAATGAAAGGAATGGATGGAATTGGAGATTTTTTTTGAAAATGTTGAAAAAAGTAAATGTACTTGAGAAAAATTATGCAGTAAAGAATGGTGTAGAGCCTTCCTTATCTGTTTTTGCTTTGGAACAGAAGCAAACCAATACACCATTAGTCCTGGTGCAGAAATTCTGCCAAGTCCTATGCGATTTTTCATTCTGAAATGACTATTGGCTGATCCCACTAGCATAAACATAACTCATGAATCTTTACTAAGTCTCTGAATAAAACATAGACAAGCATAATATGCGTTAGAAACACCCAAAGCAATAATGTCACATATTTTAGAAATAAGCGTTATATACTGACTGTGACTATCCCATAAGATTCCCTCCTTTAGTAATATACCTTAATCGTGGCATTTTAATAGCTCTCTGATGTTGTGTGCCTGCTGATTCTCCCATGCACTCATCAGATCCCAGGAAATGTCCTACTCCATCATACATATTGTGTGTGTGCAATAAATGTTTTACAGCTGCCTCCTGCCTCAAACCATAGGATAATTAAGTCATATTGTCAAGCTTCTGTTGCAAACTAGTCAAGACATTCTTTTCCCAGCGGATGACAAGAATTGTTTTCAAGGACATTTGATCCTCCCATATGATATTCAGTCTGTTGCTTCCTTTTCTTTCTGGACAATTCTCTATCTGCACATATCTATTCCACATATCTCAATGGGCTTACACAATGGCATAATTTGCCACTATCTATTATTAGTACGTTATTAATATGTCTCTATTTCCCTTCTTTTTCTTCCTTTTTTTCAAAGGTAGGTAGGTAGGTAGGTAGGTAGGTAGGTAGGTAGGTAGGTAGGTAGGTAGGTAGGTAGGTACGTACGTACATACATACATACATACATACATACATACATACATACATACTAACTACCCCAAAATTGCTGAATTACAAAGAAATATAAGAAAGATTTATTTCTCTTGCCAAGCGAGGAATTGCTGGTATTCTCTCAAATATAGAAAATATAGTAGAACGTCTTGATCTGAGATACAAAATCTCAATGTCCCAAAGGTGCTTTTTCAAGAGGCAACTTGGACTTTCTGTTTTTTCTTTGAAGATGTTTCACTTCTCATCTAAGAAGCTTCTTCAGTTCTGACTAGATGATGGGAAATGGAGACAGCTGGTCATTTTCATTCTTTTAGCGAGTTGTTCTGGCCAATTGGAGGTTTAGTTGTATTGATTCACTAAAAGAATGCAAATGACCAGCTGTCTGCAAGAAGTATAAATCCTTCCATTCCCCACCATCCAATCAGAGATGAAGAAGCTTCCTGGATGAGAAGTGAAACATCTTCAAAGAAAAAGAGGAAGTCCAGTAGCCTTTTGAAAAAACACCTTTGGGACAACTATGGATGACCGAAACTCTCATAGACAAACATTTCAATGGCCAACACACAATAGCATAGTTGTTTTTTTCTATATTGCATTTTACTATCTAGGGATCATCTGGAATTTTTTGGTACCAGTTTTAGTCACGCTTTACCCCACATTTCAAATATTTGTTCTTATTTGAGCTTATGTCTCAAGTCACTATTGAATGACTTTATCCATATAACACTAAATCCTAGTGAGAAAATGACTAGGGACTATAATATTGCAGCATTTTATTTAACGTGACTATTATTTAGTGTTCTAATATTATAGCCTTGACAGGGACTCTGGAGCCACTGGATGGATCAGTGACCGAGGCCCTTAGGCAGAGGAGTGTTTATAAGGTATTGACAGCAAAAAACTGGACATTCGAAAGGCAGCTTTGGATCATCTGTTTTGTTAGCATGGTTTTGGATCTGTCTGCCTAGTTGAATTGCTTATGAAATAATTGAATCTATTTGCAAGATGGATATACTGTCTGAAATACTGAAGGCTTATGTTTAAAAGAAGAAAGGAATGAATATCTGGTATGGTGAAGATTGCTGTACTTATTTTGAGATGTAAAAAGAAGAAATAATAGAAGAATGGTAGATGTGATTACATTCTGTAAATATATCAGAAGGGTTCAATAATAATTTTCCAGGGATGATTATGTGGAAAAAAGAAATTCCCAAAACTATACTATTTCCAGTAAATCATCTTTTTGATCATACATCGTATTTTCTTTACCATGTGAACTTAACAGTATATTCCCTGTATATCAAATAATCTGTAATTATTTGATACTAAAAATTATTCCAATTATTTGTCTTTGATTAATAGATTTGTTTCATAATCTGTTTAGCATTTCTTTCAAGTCCAGGTAGTGCATGCCTGATTCAGCTCAGATTCAGCCACTTAAATAAGATTTCTCTTTTTTCAGTTATGACCATGAAGGACGCCTTACCAATGTAACTCGCCCTACTGGTGTAGTAACAAGCCTTCACCGTGAAATGGAAAAGTCTATTACGATAGATATAGAAAACTCCAACCGTGATGATGATGTCACAGTAATTACCAATCTCTCATCTGTGGAGGCTTCCTACACAGTTGTTCAAGGTACAGAAATACACTTCCCAAAGACTTTACACAGTTTGTGTGAGTAACAATAATGGTGGAAGATAAATATAACCAACAACCAGTGGGGCAAATGTTTACGTAGCCCTTGGTCTGCCTAAAAACCTGATAATACCAGTTGATAATACCAACTTTAAATTAATATTAATTCAAAGGTCATCATTATTTCTTCATTCAGAGGACTTCCCTTCATTCCTCCATCTTTTTCAGGAGAAGATGGCAATATGTGTTCAGTTTCAGTACAATGTAGTTGTCCTCCTATAGCAGGAAAAGCCAAATGCAAGTAAAGGAAGCAAACAAGCAAATAGATGGTTCTATTTCACATTTCTTTCCTAGGAAGAACTGTCTGTCTCATGCATTTTTTTGCCAGGGGCTGTAAATATATATGGTTAAACATATTGTGCACATTAAATATATATGTTAATGTGCATAATATGTTTAAACATATATTTACATATATATGTAAATATAT